TGAGGGCTATAACCATGTGTTGTAAAACAGTATGAAATAGTACTGAACGCTGGATGTAAAGCATCAGCTTCGATGAAGAGAATTTTGTGAGAATTTTTTTGATAATTCGGTGAGAATTCACCCGATTAGACATATGATGCTCATTACGTGCTCTTGCTCGCCGAAGCCTATAAATTAAAAATGAAAACCGTTGCCAACGCGAGAAACGAAATATCATCGGTTTTATTGACACATACGTACGTATTAGCGTTTTATATAATATAGATAGATAAGTTTATTTAAATATAAATGTATTTCAAACTTATTAAGTATGTACTTAGTGTAGGTACATCTAAATAGTTAATTTTCCTTCAGGTCTTCAAACCACTTGATCTGCAATCGCTACCAAAGCATCCATGTCTTAGGTAATTGCGTGATCCACAAACATATACAGTCAGTCACAAAAATCTACATACACTGATCAAAATAAAGGTTTCTCAAAAAGCAATTAAATTTCAATTTTAAAAATTATATCACTCCTTCAGTTTTCTCTAAACAATTTGTTTTCCACAATAAAAATATTCAGAAATAATAATTTCTAGGTAATTTTGTGATTTGTGTAGTAATTATCAAGTCGCAAAAGTCTGCATACACCTGATTGGTGGACGGAAAAAAATTTGCATACGAAATTATTTTGAAAGATTGTCTTAGTTTGAGGTTACATGTTTCGTTATCTATTCTAATCTTCAATTTCCGAGATTTTTTGACATTGTAACTTCAACAAAATGAGTCAGGGAAAGGAAACATCTTTAGAACTTCGAAATATGATAGTAAGAATGAAATGTGAAAAGAAATCTTATGCAGAAATTGCAAAAATTGTAAAAAAAAAAGTCGGTCAACTGTTCCAACAATCTACAGAAATTATGTTATGCGTGGAAATGTGCTTAACAAATATCGATGTGGTCGACCAAGGAAGCTTAATGATCGTGATGCAAGAACAATAGTAAGAAAAGTGAAGAAAAATCCGAAAATTAGTGCTCCAAAATTAGCGGAACAAATTGCAACAGCTAGTGTAAAGAAAGTGCATCCAGAAACTGTTCGTAGAATTCTTCGATCAGCCGGCTACAATGGTAGAATTTCTAGACGAAAGCCGTTCATTTCATCCACTAACAAACAAAAGAAGCTTGATTTTAATTCTGCACACATTAAACAAGATTTTAATTTTTGGAAAACAGTTGTTTTTACAGTTCAACGTGCTCGGGAGTGTTGGCCGCGGAAAAATCTGGAGGAAAAAAAACACAGAAATGAATCCCGAGAATTTGACTCCAACTGTGAAACACGGTGGAGGCAGTGTTATAGTTTGGGGAGTAATGGGGGCCGCTGGAGTTGGCAATTTAGTGTTTATCGATGGCATAATGAATCGATTTGAATACCTGAAAATTCTGCAAGACAATCTACTTCCATCGGTTCAAAAATTGGGACTTTGAAACAACTCTGTCTTCTAGCAAGACAAAGACCCAAAACATGCAGCTAAGATTGTTAAGGAATTGCTACTCTATAAAACGCCTAAACAGCTCCATTCGCCGCCACAGTCCCCAGATCTTAATCCCATCGAGCATCTTTGGGAGGAAGTTGATAGGAGAGTTCGAGAGCAATCGGTAACAAGCAAGGAAACCCTAAAGAAGGCAATAGAGTTTGCATGGTCTCAAATTACACCTGAGACGACGAAAAATCTGGTTATGTTGATGCCAAACCGAATTCAGGCAGTTGTTACTTCAAAGGGAGGTCCTACAAAGTATTAATATTACATTTTTTGGCATTTAATTCTGAAAGTTTGTATTGTTCTGTCTCTGTATGTAGACTTTTGTGACTATATAATTTAATATGTTGTTAATTTTTGTTATATTTTAACCAATTTGTTCATAATTTTTTTTGTTAGATATGAGTTATTATCCAAGATGTTAACGAAAATAAAGTTGTATATTCAAAAATATGAGTAAAATGCTAGATCTGCGAATATTAGTGGGTGTATGTAGACTTTTGTGACTGACTGTAGTTTCAATTTGCCGGTGATTAAAAATGTCAATATATTTTTAGTTTAATTTTAGCTATTGTTTAAAAAGAGAAAAATTATTAAAAGAATTAAAATAATTCATCTGGGATATTTCTCTTCCTATTTAAACTTGCATATTGAATTTCACGAGAATAAATGTTGTAAGATATTTTTATTAATAATTGAGAAAATTAATTAGAATTTTATAAAATTTCTCACTGCTGGAAGATGTATCTCCACATGTTTGAAATATTCTATATCTAATTTTTGTTGTCTTAGCTTTTGAATGTTTTCAGAAATGCTTAAATTTTAAATTTTGTGAAAATTATAAATTAATTTATAAGATAACGTATTTTTTTATTCTCATATCACTCATTATTATTATATATATATATATTTTTAAATTTTAGGGACATCAATGTTGAGGTGTGAGGAACTATGGATGGCATAGCCGTGAACACCAAAATTAAAGATGCAGTAGCTGTAGCAACTTGGTTTGCGTCTTATTACATATTAGGGGTACTAAAAATTTTATTGATTTTTCTTGTAGTTTTCTTCTCCTCCCCCCCCTCCCCTAAGCTCTAAAGTTCTTGAGCAGCAAAAAAAAAATCAAAAGTTTTAGCAAATCGTTGGAATGCCACAAGACCTATAAACATGACTTTTTATACCATTTTCCCAATTGTTGCACAAAAATTTATCTGATGTGTGTTTCAATATATTATTCCCTAAAACCAATTATATTTTATATAAACCTATGATTGGAACAATATCTTATCAGAATTGCTGTTTATGATTAAAATTTAATTATTAATTCAAATAGTTCTAACTAATTACAAACGAATCTCAATTCATTTAAGGGATGATCCGTCAGTTATTTTGTGCTTTTTATCATAATGTAAACAACTTAAATTAAAGATTAGAAGCTCTGATTTAACACACAATTTTTTTTTACTGAAATCAAATCACTAATAAATCAAATGTTATGATAAATAACTTTAATTATGAGAAATTTTAAATATTTTGTTACACAAATTAACAGTAGATTCTGCTTGGGTGTGCCTTCGCCTTTTTTTTATTTTTATTATGCTCTACTCTTAATAGATTAAATTAATTTTAAAATGTTTGCAGATTAAGTCTGTTAAACAAATGTATGTGACTTTCCAATATTTTATAATAGTTTGCTTTCTCATGTGAAAATGTCATATCTAAAATGTTAGAAATAATTGAAAGTTATAATTCTCATGTTAGAAAAATATTTTAAAGAAAATGAGGCTGTCACTAAAACAGTAGTGTTGTATTATGTTTTAAGAGCTTAAAAAGCTGCTGAATATATGCTATGCATCAATTTTATTCATTGAGTATTCATACTGATTGAGAATAGATTCTTTTTGCTACAGATAACACATATTTACGCATTTTTTTAATCTAGTTCCGAGGTTATAAAATAAATTTGTTCATTAACTTTTGCATCAAGTTGCATTTGGCTTGGTCAACCTTTCTGTGCTAAGTTTATTAACAAGTAACTGGTTTCTCTAATAATTAACAGTCTATAACTAATAATAAACTTGTCAATTTGTATAAATGTTTATGGTAATTTCTAATTTGCCTTTCAGTTGCTTTTGTTGGTAGCCATTTTTTTAGCTTTTTGCTTTTATTTTCTTACATGTTGAGCGTTTCTAAATAAAAGGATTCTCCATGAAAACTTGGTATTAAAATAGTATTGAAAATATTTTTGACTTCGTGGAATTTTTTTTTTCTTTTTTTTCTTCATTTTCCACAATATGAGATTTGAGTTATGGAGTGGCAAGGTTTTCTATTTTGGCTAAATTTGTTTCTTAAAAATCAGTATTTGGAATATTGATATCAGTAATGTTTGCCTTGCAAAATTTTCAATAGAAAATGTCAGTTTGCTATTATATTGAATTTTATCATAATTATAGTTGTTTCTGAAGCCCAAGAAAATTGATGTACATAAAATTATTTTTTACTAATTTTAACATATTTTTCAAGTGCTTTGTTAGAATAAATCCAGTGTCTGGCTCCAAAGTAGAAAGGGAAAAGATTGTTTATCAGAAATTCTCCCTAAGACTTTAAGCTTTCTATCTTTGACAGTTGGGTGAAAGATTGTCGACATTAATAAATTCATCAATTTTTTATTCTTTCCTTCATTCACAGGGTGCGTAACATTTTAAAAAAGTGTTTAAAGGTGTTTATTTTGCTTATATGAAATGATCTGTAGAAATTAATAAAGTCATTTTTGTTATTTGTAATTGTTTTCTTTTCATTAACTGCAATTTATCAACATGTTTATGAAGTTTTAATAAAAACTTTATTTTACTTAAAAAGTTGAAACAGTTGATGTTAGAATTACCTAGTTTAGTTTTGAGAATAACTTAACTTTCAAAACTTGTGGTATTAATTGTTCTAATTATCATTTATATTCTGTTTTCGTATACATTAAATGATATATCTTGAAGTTCAGTATCTAACCTGTTGAAAATTTCATTCTTACTGGCCTTATGCCAAACGAGCAATAAGGACACTGTTGCTGTATAGTTCCTATTCAGGTAGACAAGCAATGTTAAGAAAATGGTCACCCGACAGGCCTTAGGTTACCATTAAATTTATTAAGTTTCTCCGCCAGTGTAATTTTATAGCTGCGAACTATTTTCATATTTCTTAGAAAAATGTTAACCATTTCAGCACCTAATCTGTTTTCTGAAATCTTGGTCACTAATATTATAGAGTTAACAGTTTACTAAAATGTTTTAATAAGTTGTTTGCATCTTCTGATCGTAATTCAATGTTTTAGTCTCATAAATTTATAAACGGCTTAATGTTAATTTTTTTTACCTGTATTAGTTCCAATAAGAAAATAAATCGTAAAGATTCCATACATATTCAGTGACATTCCATATGAAACAATTATTCTATTTTATTGTTATAAATGATAGTTATCTCTTTTTCCCGAGATGTTGTAAATAGTTTCTAAACCATAGACTTTTATATTTACTGTTATTAAACAATACTAAACTGTACGGTAATAAAGCAATTAAATTCTTTAGACCTGGTTAATTAACTGTATTAGGTGTATACAGTAGTACAACCGTTTAGTTTTGTTAACATTGTTTTTTAACCGTGTTTGTTATAAACAGTATTAAATCCGTAAAGGTGAATAACTTTTCTCAACCGTAAACTTTACGGTTAATCGGATGGACAGACTGCTGCCGTTCCTTTTACCGTAATTTTGGAAAGAAATTTTTAACAGGGCATGAAAGAAACTTTCATGTAGGCGCTCAAACACCTATTGAAGGTAGAAACTTAGCGCGAAGTATTGTTCATAATTGTGTAATTTGTGCAAAATTTAATCCTCAATTCTCAGTGCAAAAAATGGGAGATTTGTCCACCGAAAGATGCATTCCATCCTTCCCATTTAATATTACAGGAGTTGATTTTGTGGCCCTTTCAAATTAAAAACAAATTTCAAAGAGAAGGTCCATTGCAAAAAATTTACATTGCAATTTTCATTTGCTTTGTAACTCGCGTAGTTCACTTTGAAATAGTTTCAGACTTGACATCAGATTCTTTCATAGCTGCTTTAAAACGATTTATGTCTCGAAGAGGTAAAGTCTCAACTCTTTTTACAGACAATGGCCGTAATTTTGTAGGTGCGAATAATAAACTCAAACGCTTATTTAAACCAGTAAGCAAACCAGACACTATTTTGGCAAAATATCTCAGTTCTGAAGCCATTTCATCCCCCCCCAGATCTCCACATTTCGGAGGCCTTTGGGAAACTGGAGTGAAATCATTTAAATTTCATCTTTTATTAGCAGTAGGTTGTTTAAAATTAAATTTTGAGGAATTTTTAACAGTAACAAATCAAATTGAAGGAATCTTAAATTCCAGACTAATGTTACCTCTTTCTTCTGATGCAAATGAAGAACAAGCATTAACTCCAGGTCATTCTTTAATCGGAAGACCGATTTTGGCCATGGTAGAACCTAATTTGACAGATTTGTCAGATAACTCTAGAAAACGTTGGCAACGTGTAACTAAAATTGTCCAATATGTCTGGCAAAGGTGGCATAGAGACTACCTACATCATTTGCAACAGAAGAATAAATGGTTTTACCAGAAACAGAATATTTCTGTTGGGGATATAGTATTAGTTAAGGAAGATAATCTTCCAACTAACAACTGGTTATTAGGAAAAATTGAGAAACTGTATTTTGGAAAGGACAATAACGTCAGAGTTTGTCTTGTGAAAACAAAAATTGGCATATATAAAAGATCAATTACCAAATTGGCCATATTACCAGTTTCAACTAATTAATAATTTGTTATTCTGAAATTATTATTATTTTTATTGTGTTTTTTCTTTTATTATTATTATTCTAGTAAGCCATTATACTTGTGAAATTTTAAATAATTTATGTCCATATATATATATAGCTTTTGTCAAGCATATATTTGATTAGTTGTGAAACTTATAATTTTCACTACTCATGTTAATTTTTAGTTATTGAATAGTTTTGTGCAATGTCTTGACAATCTGACAGACCTTGCACGGTGGGGCGGAATACGTTAGATCTCAAAAATATACGCCCGCGCGTTTTACCTTTATCGCGCCCCCCACTCCACTTTGCATCTCTGTCAGAGAAGCAAGCATTCGTTCACTCAAGAACTTCGAACAAAGAAGTTCACTTGTCAGCTCTCTCATGAGCTACCTTTCATTGTTTACTGCTATTGCAGCAGTCATAATAATAATCTTCGTGTATATAGTTCATTTATTTTATTAAGTTTTGTTTAATAAATGTTAAATCAACCATTACAGTCCGCTTTCTAATACATACAATGCACATGCTCTAAACCAAATACTCTTGCTTGCCAACTTCAATATTTATATTTTAGAATATTTAAATTATTTATTTTTCAATATTTATATATGAATATTCTTAATTGTTTTGTGTTTTTTTAAGTGTATGTTTATTTTTTTTATTTGTCAGTCTTTTTTCAATACTTAACTGATACTCAAAAGTGACTCATTCAATCAATTATTTCAGTTTCTTTCCTTTGTATCGTATTGCATAGTAGTCTTGAATAAAAGATTTTGGAATTAATGAAAAAACAAACTTAAAAAAAAGATATTTTATCATTCATCACTCTATAATAAAAATGTCAAATCATTATGCCTTTTTTTTAAACATGTTTTATCACATTTTTCACTTTACCTTTTTTTTTCTTGGACTAATTTAAGTTTTGAAAAAGTAGTTCCAGATTCACAGTTTGTTATGTGCATCACAAGATATACCTTAAAAGCGGTGGTTAATTTAATGGTAATAACTCTCCATTAGTTAACGAATAACTCTCCATCAATTGATGTGTTTGGTAAAACTGGTAAAAATCTGGTTAATTTAAATTCTCTTCTCCCTTTTATTTCTGTTTCTTCTGTTTTTAGTAATAAAATATCATCTAGTGGTTTACGATATTTTCACTGTCTATCAGATAAAATGTTGCTACTCTCAATCAAATAATTTAGCCACACATTTATTATTTTTTCTAATAATTTACATGGAAACCACCCTATTTTGCTGATTATATGTTACGAGTTTCAAGCAAAAGCCGGAAGAGTTTAAGAGTTCTGGTTTAGATTGGTGTTTGAACATAATAAAGTGAATATTGTCATGTTCAGAAATGTTTTTGCATCACTCTAAGGCTGTTTTTAATTCATTTATGTTCAGTGGTGCATTGCATTCATCTAAAGGTTTTAATGAGATATTTAAAAAAATTGTTTTTAATAAATTGCAGAATCTGAATTTCTAATTTGATGTCATTTTGTTGACACATTATATTTAGAAGATCTTTTAGGTTAGCTGCAAATGTTTCTTGCTCGAGCCCTTATAAAAGTAATTAAATTTTCAAGTGTTGGTGTGCGAAGAAACTCTCTCCAGCCACGCTTCTGCGTGGTGGCATTCCTTCTTGACTTAAGGCTAGTCCGTTTTCTGTTTCGAGTCATTTCGTCAGAGGTATTATTGTTTCGTTAAATGTAACTGTATTGTGCATGAGATGTGACAAGTAATTTGCTTGAGATGGCTATTAATATGGGACCATCCTTTTTTTTTAACATGTATGTATTTTTTCAAGAGGGAAATTCATTCTATAATTACATCTTTGCGTGTTATAGACAAAACCGTACTTTTTGTGTACATGATGACACTTATAACATGTAAATAAATTTCATTTTATAACCTTTTTCTCAATTTATGCATCTACAAAACAAGAAACTTAATAAATATAAGTCTTTGAAATGTGACTATATTTTAGTTTTAAACTATCATATTTTGCGAGTAAATAAATACTTATTTTTTTTCAGATTCATAAACTCATTCTTTGCTTTGGGGAAAAATAAAGAGGCATAATTTTGCTGCTTTAAAATAATTATTTATCTATTCGCTATTGTGTGTAGTATTTCTTTCAATAATTAAGTAGATAAAAGTTAGCTTGATGAGTGCTGACGAAATGCCAGAAGAATTTTGCAGACGTGCATTGTTAAAAATTACTAAGCTTCTCAATTTCAATTACTGATTACTGGAAAAGATGTAAGAAAGTAATTTAGAGATTGTAGAGCATTAGTTAGCAGGGTGTGACAGCAATCTAATCAGGGGTGGATTACCCATTAGGCTAGACTAGGCAATGGTCGGGGGCCCCCAATGATTAGGGGCCGCGAAAAATTTTTTAAACATATCCTGCATGCTGTGCCATCCAAGAATAGAAATTAGTTTTAGTCAAGTTTGGCAGCAACTAGTATAAGCTTAATATAATCAAACTCTCTTCAATCAAAATCACTTTAATTTCTTAAATCATTGCAAGCGCAGGAAATTTTATGCTTAATTCATATCCTTAAAGCATACTTTTTTCCTTTATATTTTTTAGCATATTTTTTCCAACGACAAATTTGATAAAATTCTTTTTAATTTAAAACTTTTGCTTTGAGCCAGGATAGCCTGGTTGGTTCTTGGAAACAAAATTAACACCATACACAGCACGGTATCCATATTCGTATTTAGAATGAAACTATATACACTATGTCTACCTCTTACATAAAGCGCACAAGCAACGGAGACTAAACGAGATCGCTAGATACCAGTCGTGCCTCGTTTTATATATCCCTTAATATCGATAACGATTATTTCCTATCAAAGTTGAATTGAGTTGAGCTCATTTACGTTGTTGTTCATTTACGTCGCACTAGAGCTTCACAGTGGGC